GTCCCAACAAGTGTACTTAACCTCAAATCCCTTTCCAGTAAATCAGGATCGGGCTGTGCTGCGTCCTCAAGGATTGGCACATCTCCCTTTCAGTGCGGCTTGTGGGTTTGACACCCTAAGCCTCGCACACGTGTTAGACTCCTTGGTCCGTGTTTCAAGACGGGTAGTAGAAGATCGCTGTGTCTGACATGAGCCTGCGAGCGTTTAACCACGTCAGGCCAGCGGGAGCAAGGACGTTGTCCGAAGACGCCGACACTTACCCTTCGCTGACGATGCCGCGGGTCACCTCCTCAACTCATTCCTATCCTGGTCGATCCGAGCAAAACTGAGGCAGCCGGCAAGCCGTCTCGCAACAGAAGCTTGGACGATCCGAATAGGTCCAGACGTCTCAACCATAAACCCCAGTGAAGGAGCAATGATTAAGATTTGAACGCATCTCCAACTCTTACCACTCATCGGTTTCAGGGACTTTTAACCCTCTTTTCAAAGTTCTTTGCATCTTTCCATCACTGTACTTGTTCGCTATCGGCCTCCGGGAGATATTTAGCCTTAGCAGAGGGATACCTGCCGATTAGCTCAGCATTCCCAAACTGAGCGACTCGTGCTAGCAAGGAGTTAACCAACATGGCTCGTCGAGGAAATACGGGACTCTCACCCTCTGTGGATACCCCATTCCAGGAGACTTACCTCGACGCCAGTTGTGTCCCCAAGCAGCTTGCGCCACATTCCGGATATCCGTAGAACACCGGTTCAGGCTTGGGCTCTGCCCTGTTCACTCGCCGTTACTAGGAGCATCGCTGTTGCTTTCTTTTCCTGCGCTGAGTGATATGCTTAAGTTTAGCGCGTAGATCTTCAACAGCTGAGGTCGGTGAGAGTTTCATTCGAACGACCTGTTTTTCCAAAAATCAATCCATGCCTTTGAAGTGTGAACCTCACGAGACTAGACGATTTTTGGAAATCGTCAGTCGCTCTCATTGAAGATCCATTGATCGAACACCATCCAATTTCATCAAACCTTGCGATTCAACTCCAGAAGATATGCGATGCTCGTTCTCGGACCCAGGATTTCAAACAGAGCATCGATCGGGTTGAATGATCTTTGCACCGCCACATTCTCGATTCAAACCGATTCAACTCGATCAACAATAATCAGCAAGCCAATCACCATCGAATCAAGAGTCGAACGCAGTCTGAGAGATTAGATTTTCAAGCGACACTCAACTGCTGATGGGCATGGGCGAACCCAGCCCGCTAATGCGTTCGACGACCTGATGAGTCTCATGCTTCTGCAATTCCCATTGACTATCGCGTCTGGCCGCGGTCTTCATCGTTCCCAGAGCCAAGACATCCACCGATAAGTGCAATTGATGTCACCCTCGATCAACCGCAGTTGAGCCGAGGGGAACAGTTGTTTTGCCTTTCCGATTGCTCGGGATTTTCGATTTCCTTCATGACCATGTTTGAATCCTCGGTTTCCAATCTGTTTGAAAGTCGTTTCCTCATTCCATTCAGAATTGAAATCTTTGGTAATGATCCTGCTGCAGGTTCACCTACAGCAACCTTGTTACGACTTTTGCTTCCTCTAGCTGAGAAACATTGCTTGGATTCGGGCGCTGAACTTGTTGCCAAGAACGAGCTTCCCTCTCCCAAGCTCTATCCCACAGCCAATCGGTAGCAACGACGGGCGGTGTGTACAAATGGCAGGGACGTAATCAGTGCAAGCTGATGACTTGCGCCTACTAGGCATTCCTCATTCAAGGAGAATAATTGCAATCATCGATCCTCATCACGACGCAAGTTCAAAAGATTTCCCATCCTCTTCAAGATAGGTAGCCGGAAGGCTCTCAAACTCGTTTAATGCGTCAGTGTAGTGCGCGTGCAGCCTAGGACATTTAGGAGCATCACAGACCTGCTATTGGCTCGCTCTTCCGCGCGCTATAAGTCGCGCGCAGTCCCCTTAAGAAGTAGTGCGCGTCTCGGGTAAGCAGCAAGCCGCCGATGCCAAAAGACACCCCCTACAACGACACGCCCACCTATTTAAGGGTCGAGATCTCGTTCGTTAACGGAATCAACCTGACAAATCACTCCACCAACCAGGAGCGGCCATGCACCACCACACAATTCATCGAGAAAGAGCTCTCAATCTGTCAATCCTTGAGATCGTCCTGACCTAGTAAAATTCCCCGTGTTGAGTCAAATTAAGCCGCATACTCCACGCCTGGTGGTGTCATTCCGTCAATTCCTTTAAGTTTCAGCCTTGCGAATGTACTCCCCCCTGAACCCATAATCTTTGATTTCTCGTTCGGGGAGTGCCGTGGGAGCCAAAATGACTTCCCTCGATCCTGAGACGGCATCGTTTACAGCAGTGGACTACGACGGTATCTGATCATCTTGGATCCCCACGCTCTCGTTCTTGATTAATGAAGACATTCTTGTCGAATGCTTTCGCAGAAGTTCGTCTTCCTACGATCTAAGAATTTCACCTCTGACGTAGGAGTACGTACGACCCCGGCAGTCCCTATTGATCCCGCGCAACGAGGCCTTAGACGAAACTCAAAAGAGAACCGCTAAGAACTTCGTTTTGATTATTCCTTCTCGGGTTAAGAGACCAACAAAAAGAGTCGAGAGAATCGATCCCTTGTTATTCCATGCTTTATCATTCACGGCGAACGCCTGCTTTGGGCACGCTGGTTTGTTCACAGTAACATCGGTGGTCGACCCGTATGCGTATGGTGTACGCGTAAGCGCTTTCATCCCGATGAAGAGATTACTTGCAAGGCACCATTACCACCGTTCATAGAGCACAGGTCTTGATGCGAGGGGTTGATCCCAGCCTTCTGAATACCAGCAGTACGCTGATGCCCAGCAAACTGGGCCACCTTGCAACCTGAGCTCTGGATCCAACTACGAGCTTTTTAACAGCAGCAGCATTAATATACGCTATTGGTGCTGGAATTACCGCGGGTGCTGGCACCAGACTTGTCCACCAATTGTGTTCATTGACAGGTTTAGATATCATCCATTGCTTCTAACGTACTAAGTACGTGTCGAGGCTATTTCTCTTCGCTGCCTCAGCAGTGTTGCTATTGGGCAATTTGCGTACCTGCTGCCATCCTTAGATGTGGTAGCCGTTTCTCAGGCTCCCTCTCCGGAATCGAACCCTAATTCCCCGTTACCCGTTACAGCCACGGTAGTCCACTACACTACCGTCAAAAGCTGATAGGGCAGAAGCTCTTGCGGGCTTGCACCGACTTGAAGTCGTGTGCTATCACTCGATTGACCTGTTTCATCCACACACCGCTGCTATTGCTAGCGTTGGTTCTTATCTCGGTCAATTGTATCCACCTCGACCCCGCGGTTTTAAGGCCACGGGGTTGAATCGAGTTGGATTCTTCGGACATGTATTAGCAATGGAGTTACCATTGTTATCCAACTGGGCCCAAAAGGCACCTTCCCCGCGTAGATTGCCACCGATTTAATGAGCCGTCTGCAGACCCACTGTTAATCCATTTACTCTGAGACTTGCATGGCTTAATCCTTGAAACAAGCATATGACTACTGGCAGGATCAACCAGGTTTCTTGTCACTCAAACCAGACTGGACCGAGGAAAATCTGACGAATCAAAGATTCCCCGATACCAGAGATTGTATCGTGTCAAGCCTAGATTGATGCATGATCATTCTATTCATTCTTCAGCTTTCAAAGGGGCAGTCCTCGATCGTATCTCTACGACCGATAGCTTTCCTCGATTGCCTTTTTTGTATTTCACCATCGTGTCTTCCCGATTACCTTGACCATTTGATCGAGCGCATACGAGTATGCTAACTCGGATCTGGAACGAGTCCATGGGAGAGGAACGGTCTTGACTTTTGCATTTTCATTGGCACATGACCGATTCATTTTGCATTCCCTCCATGTCTTTCGAGCACGTGGTATGTCATTCATACTCATTCTAATCGGCATCCCTCTTCTTGAATCGCGAACGATTCTTTCCGTGGAATGTTAACACCGCCATTTGAGATTATCGAGGCGAGGTCATGCCAGATTAGTTAGCTATGTCACTAGAGCGGAGTGCTGCTCCGATTCAGAATGTGATTGACTCACTCTAGTGATTAGCGTTCTTGCCTTATGAATACCAGTCTCTTTCATTTGCCAGTCTTTGATTTTCATTTCATGCGTGGTTGACCATCATATTACCAACAGGAGAGGTAGTGATCCTTCCGTCCTCCTGGAGCTCTAGAGCTTCCAGGAGGGGAGGACCCCCTTTCCTATATTGGGCATGACCCCTTTTCCCGAACTGGGGGGGTCGGCGACGCGCACGCGTCCCTCCCCCCCCCCTCCCCCCCCCCTTCCCTCCCCCCCTCCCTACAGTTGCCTGTAGGAGAGAGAGGAGAGAGGAGAGAGGGAGAGAGAGAGAGGAGAGAGAGCAGCGCACGAGAGTCACCTGGCAACAACGCGCCCACCTCATACCCTTGCTCCTGAGCACAACACCTCCATCTCCAATCTTCTCCGCGCCGGGAAGCTCCCGCACCGGCCCAGAGCTCAACCTTTTTACAAAGGGAGCCGAGGGCCAGAACAGGAACTTTGACGCGAAAAAAAATGGCGAGGGGGTGGGGGCCTGAAAGAGGGCATTTTAGCGGGCGAGGGGTCACCTCGCGACGAAATCTCAAAGCTTGTCTCCCCTGATTCTCGGGCGGGACCCTACCTCCCCGGACCCCCTATCCCTCTCCTGTGTCATCATCCCGAGTGCTCAAGCCGAAGCGAACATCTCAGGGAATCATACGACGTGGAGAGAAAAAAAGAGGCAGGTTTGGTAAGGTGCGGCCGGAGATCAAGAGAGATTCCGCTTGAGATCCGTCTTTCGATTTGCCTTAAATATGATGATTCAACCATTCATTCCATTCCATTCAAATTGACCAACATCGAGAGACTCTGGGTGGATTCATCACTTTTTTCCAAATTCACATCCGGGTTTCTCCTGATCCAACCCCACTCTTTCGAGTGGAGCCGAACCAGGAGATAACCGTAGGAACCGGCCATAAGGCTCAAACCCTCGGAACAACAAGGCTCCTCAGTGCGTTACGCCCGCCGGTCCATTCGGACTCGTATAGACCCGGTTGGAGACACGGGATCTGGATGTGAATTTGGAAGTTGCCGTTCGCCGAAGCTATTCGTGGCCCGATAAATCCGATGTGCCCTGAGTAACTCACGCATTCCTCTAGACTGGGTTCTGGCTTAGAGGCGTTCAGCCATAATCCATCCAGTGGTAGCATCACGGCACTGTCCGATCGAACAACCGTAGATACCAGGGACTAGAAACGGGAGTTCCTCTCGTACTACCCCGTATTGCTGTCGGAATGCGCTGGCCCGATGGGCTCTCTCTCCATCAGTAGGGTAAAACCAACCTGTCTCACGACGGTCTAAACCCAGCTCACGTTCCCTGTTAGTGGGTGAACAATCCAACCCTTAGACAATTCTGCTTGTCTAGGTTAGGAAGAGCCGACATCGAAGGATCAAAAAGCAACGTCGCTATGAACGCTTGGCTGCCACAAGCCAGTTATCCCTGTGGTAATTTTTCTGTCACCTCCGGCTTCATCCCTTGAACATGAAGCGAGACCAAAGGATCGTTAGGCCATGCTTTCACACCGAGGATCGGTACTGAAGATCGTGTATCGAGCAAGCTTTTACCCTTATGCTCTACGCGAGATTTCTGTTCCCGCTGAGCTTGCCTTAGGACACCTGCGTTAATGTGTAACAGATGTGCCGCCCCAGCCAAACTCCCCACCTGACTGGTGTCTCCAAACGAGGATTCGCGAGCCGAAGCCCGTTTGTCGCTGGAAACGGATAAGCTACGGATCCGAAGACCCTAACCCCACAAGGGAGCAGCTGCCGTCTTCCCATCATTGGATAAGTAAAGCGACAACAAGAGTAGTGGTATTTCATTGTTGCGGCCTCCCACCTATTCTACACCTCTCGTGTCACTGCACAAAGTCAGACTAGAGTCAAACTCAACAGGGTCTTCTTTCCCCGCTGACAGTTTCAAGTCCGTTCCCTTGACTGCTGTTTCGCCAGATAGTAGGTAGGGACAGAAGGAATCTCATTGGTCCATTCATGCGCGTCTTTAATTAGAAGACGAGGCATTTGGCTACCTTAAGAGAGTCATAGTTACTCCCGCCGTTTACCCGCGCTTGACCTGATCTCTCAGCGTTGACATTCAGGGCACTGGGCAGAAGTCACATTCCACTCGCCACCGCTGTGATGAAGCGAAATGCTGTGGTTTAATTAACCAGTTGGATTCCTCTTGTTCGTAACAGTTCCAAGCTGACACTTCATTGCGGGCACAACATGCAAGAAGGCCTGGAAGAAATCAGGAGCCGCGGGTAGCACCCGAGAGCGCCACTCACAGCACCTTCAATCTGAGCCCAGACCTGACCCGCACTGACAATCCCGCATGTGTCCTCAGAGCCAATCCTTTTCCCGAAGTTACGGATCCAGTTTGCCGACTTCCCTTACCTACATTGTTCTGTCGGCCAGAGGCTTTTAGCCTAGGAGACCTATTGCGGTTAACGGTACGGCCCGATGCAAGAGAATGAGATCTCCCCTGTTTTTTCCATGCACATCCACAAGACACCCTACTACACGAAGAAAGTGCAGCTTTCCAGGATAGTTAACCCTGTCCCCGCGTGAAGCGTTTCAAGGGTCAACCCTTCCTTCAAAAAGAGACGACTGCATCATCCGGGGCCTGTGGACATGGTCAACAGGATCGTCAATGTGTCACCACTTCAGATCTCTGCATCCGGGTTGCGGAATGTTCACGCATTCCCTTTCGGCAATCCTGCACGTCCGAGCAAGCTCGTCAGTGGCAGCTTTGAGGCGAGCAATTACACCTTGCCTTAGGACCGACTGACCCATGTCCAATTGCTGTTGACACGGAAACCTTCTCCACTTCGGCCTTCAATGTTCTCCATTGAATATTCGCTACTACAACCAAGATCTGCACTCATCCACGCTCCATCGAGGCTCACGCCAACGACTTCGCGGCGTGGACCACGCACTCCTACGCACGCCTGGCTTTGTGATACCAGTACGCGGCCAACTATGGGTGGATCGCTTGAGCATCATCCATTTTCGGGACCGGTGCATTCGGCAGGTGAGTTGTTACACACTCATTATCGGATGCCGACTTCCATGGCCACCGTCCTGCTGTCAAGATGAACCGACACCCTTTGTGGGATCTGATGAGCGATCACTCGGACACCTTAAGTCAGCTCTCGGTTCATCCCGCGTCGCCAGTCCTGCTTACCAGAAGTGGCCCACTTAGAACCAGGATTCTACGTCAGGGTTCAATGAAGTAACCCCGAGCTCACGCCCATTTAAAGTTTGAGAATAGGTCGAGGAAGCGATTTCCCCAATGCCTCCAATCATTCGCTTTACCTGGCGTAACTCCTGTTTTGGTTCTAGCTATCCTGAGGGAAACTTCGGAGTGAACCAGCTACTAGATGGTTCGATGGGTCTTTCGCCCCTATACCCAGCTTTGACGAGCGATTTGCACGTCAACACCGCAACGGACCTCCACCAGGGTTTCCCCCGGCTTCGTCCTATCCAGGCATAGTTCACCATCTTTCGGGTCCCAACAAGTGTACTTAACCTCAAATCCCTTTCCAGTAAATCAGGATCGGGCTGTGCTGCGTCCTCAAGGATTGGCACATCTCCCTTTCAGTGCGGCTTGTGGGTTTGACACCCTAAGCCTCGCACACGTGTTAGACTCCTTGGTCCGTGTTTCAAGACGGGTAGTAGAAGATCGCTGTGTCTGACATGAGCCTGCGAGCGTTTAACCACGTCAGGCCAGCGGGAGCAAGGACGTTGTCCGAAGACGCCGACACTTACCCTTCGCTGACGATGCCGCGGGTCACCTCCTCAACTCATTCCTATCCTGGTCGATCCGAGCAAAACTGAGGCAGCCGGCAAGCCGTCTCGCAACAGAAGCTTGGACGATCCGAATAGGTCCAGACGTCTCAACCATAAACCCCAGTGAAGGAGCAATGATTAAGATTTGAACGCATCTCCAACTCTTACCACTCATCGGTTTCAGGGACTTTTAACCCTCTTTTCAAAGTTCTTTGCATCTTTCCATCACTGTACTTGTTCGCTATCGGCCTCCGGGAGATATTTAGCCTTAGCAGAGGGATACCTGCCGATTAGCTCAGCATTCCCAAACTGAGCGACTCGTGCTAGCAAGGAGTTAACCAACATGGCTCGTCGAGGAAATACGGGACTCTCACCCTCTGTGGATACCCCATTCCAGGAGACTTACCTCGACGCCAGTTGTGTCCCCAAGCAGCTTGCGCCACATTCCGGATATCCGTAGAACACCGGTTCAGGCTTGGGCTCTGCCCTGTTCACTCGCCGTTACTAGGAGCATCGCTGTTGCTTTCTTTTCCTGCGCTGAGTGATATGCTTAAGTTTAGCGCGTAGATCTTCAACAGCTGAGGTCGGTGAGAGTTTCATTCGAACGACCTGTTTTTCCAAAAATCAATCCATGCCTTTGAAGTGTGAACCTCACGAGACTAGACGATTTTTGGAAATCGTCAGTCGCTCTCATTGAAGATCCATTGATCGAACACCATCCAATTTCATCAAACCTTGCGATTCAACTCCAGAAGATATGCGATGCTCGTTCTCGGACCCAGGATTTCAAACAGAGCATCGATCGGGTTGAATGATCTTTGCACCGCCACATTCTCGATTCAAACCGATTCAACTCGATCAACAATAATCAGCAAGCCAATCACCATCGAATCAAGAGTCGAACGCAGTCTGAGAGATTAGATTTTCAAGCGACACTCAACTGCTGATGGGCATGGGCGAACCCAGCCCGCTAATGCGTTCGACGACCTGATGAGTCTCATGCTTCTGCAATTCCCATTGACTATCGCGTCTGGCCGCGGTCTTCATCGTTCCCAGAGCCAAGACATCCACCGATAAGTGCAATTGATGTCACCCTCGATCAACCGCAGTTGAGCCGAGGGGAACAGTTGTTTTGCCTTTCCGATTGCTCGGGATTTTCGATTTCCTTCATGACCATGTTTGAATCCTCGGTTTCCAATCTGTTTGAAAAGCTGGCAGACGAGTCGCGCTAGCCGAAACCGGTAACGCCCCTTCACATCAATCGAGAAAGCGTACGAAATATCAGATGGTTTGCGTTTTCAACAATCTCGTGGGTTTTTTTTCGCGCATATATTTGTAAAAAAAAACAGTTTTTCGCGCATACGTTTCGTATGCGCACAGTTTTTTCGGCAGTTTATCGTGCATATATTTGTAAGTTTCCCAAAAAATTTGACCCAAAAATTTCAGCCCCAATTTTTGACCCAAATTTTGAACCAAAATTTTGAACCAAAATTTTTGACCCAAATTTTTGTCCCAAAAAAGATTTTGACCCAAAATTTTGACCCAAAATTTGACCTTGGGTGGATCTTTACCATGCAGGGTCAAAACCTTGTGTCTTTTTAAAACGCTCCCGCGGGGCCGATGGAGCCCTAAAAATTTTTTTGGAAAAAAAAAAATTTGCTCAACTTCCTCAAAAATTACTGCAGAGTTTGTTCCAAACTTTTAAAATTCAAAAAACCCAATTTTTTTCCGGAATTTTTTTTTTTGCCATTTTCAAAAAGACACAAGGTTGGCAGGTCTCTACCCCGGTGAATCTTTACTCCGCCGGGGTAGAGATCGGTGAAGATCGGCGGAGTCAAGGTCGGCGGAGTCAAGGTCGGCGGAGTAAAGGTCCGGCGGAGTAAAGGTCGACAGAGTAAAGGTCCACTCAAGGCAAATTGATTTTTGACCCAAAAATTGGGTTCAAAAATTTGGGTTCAAAATTTTGGGTCAAAATTTTGGGTCAAAATTTTGGGTCAAAATTTGGGTCAAAAATTTTGGGTCAAAAATTTGGGTTCAAAATTTTGGGTCAAAATTTTTGGGTCAAAATTTTGGGTCAAAATTTGGGTCAAAATTTTGGGTCAAAAATTTTTGGGTCAAAAATTTTGGGTCAAAATTTGGGTCAAAAATTTGGGTCAAAAATTTGGGTTCAAAATTTGGGTCAAAAGTTTGGGTCAAAAAATTTTGGGTAGGTTTTGAACACGAGATTGGGGACCCAGATTTCAGTATCTTTGCCTCAAATGATCCCAATCCAAACTTTTGCCCAAATCTTGAGTCCAAAACCCAAGTTTTGACCCAAATCTTTAATCGAAATGATCCAACTGAACATTTTTTGCACCATTTTCGGGTCTGTGACCCAAGATTTGGACCAAATTTTTGAACACCAGATTTGGGGACCCAAATTTCGGTATCTTTGCCTCAAATGATCCCAATCCAAACTTTTGCCCAAATCTTGAGTCCAAAACCCAATTTGAACCAAGTTTTTGATCCAGATGCTTCAGCTGAAAATTTTTGACCAAAAATTTCGACCCAAAAATCTGACCCAAAATTTTCAACCCAAAATTGTGACCAAAATTTTCAACCCAAAATTTTCGACCCAAAATTTTGACCCAAAATTTTGGTGACCTTTACCCTGCGGAGTAAAGGTTGGCGGAGTCAAGGTCGGCGGAGTCAAGATCGGCGGAGTCAAGGTCGGCGGAGTCAAGGTCGGCGGAGTCAAGGTCCGACGGAGTAAAGGTCGACGGAGTAAAGATCCACCCAAGGCAAAACACTAAAAATGCCGGAGTAAAGATTCGCCGGGGTAGAGACCTGCCACAAGGTTTTGACCCTGCATGTTACTCCGTCGACCTTTACCCCGTCTGAGCTTTACTCCGACTCCGCCGACCTTGACTCCGCTGATCTTCACCGATCTTTACCCAGGTGCCAGGTTTGCCACACCACCAGATAGTGCTGGTTTGGTAGTGTGTTTGGGTGGGGGGGGGCGTGGTTCAGCATGATTTAGCATGCAGGGTCAAAACCTTGTGTCTTTTTGAAATGGCAAAAAAAAATTTCCGGAAAAAACAATGGGTTTTTTGAATTTTAAAAGTTTGGAACAAACTCTGCAGTAATTTTTGAGGAAGTTGAGCAAATTTTTTTTTTTCCAAAAAATTTTTTAGGGCTCCATCGGCCCCGCGGGAGCGTTTTAAAAAGACACAAGGTTTTGACCCTGCATGTTAGGCCGCTGTGCCAGGAAGCTGGCTGGCGATCAAGGGCTGGGCTGGCGGTCAGGGGCTGCCGCGGGAGCTGAGCCGAGGCAGCTCTTCGGTTAGAGTCGCACAAGGCATTTCCATTACAAAAAACTTCGGTTAGAGTCGCAAGCCATTTTCATTGAGAAAAACTTCGGTTAGAGTCGCGTAGAGCATTTTCATTACAAAAAACTTCGGTTAGAGTCGCAAGCCATTTTCATTGAGAAAAACTTCGGTTAGAGTCGCGTAGAGCATTTTCATTACAAAAAACTTCGGTTAGAGTCGCAAGCCATTTTCATTGAGAAAAACTTCGGTTAGAGTCGCGTAGAGCATTTCCATTACAAAAAACTTCGGTTAGAGTCGCAAGCCATTTTCATTGAGAAAAACTTCGGTTAGAGTCGCAAGCCATTTCCATTGAGAAAAACTTCGGTTAGAGTCGCAAGCCATTTTCATTACAAAAAACTTTGGTTAGAGTCGCAAGCCATTTTCATTACCATGCAGGGTCAAAACCTTGTGTCTTCCCGCGGGGCCGATGGAGCCCTAAAAAAAATTTTGGAAAAAAAAAAATTTGCTCAACTTCCTCAAAAATTACTGCAGAGTTTGTTCCAAACTTTTAAAATTCAAAAAACCCAATTTTTTTCCGGAATTTTTTTTTTTGCCATTTTCAAAAAGACACAAGGTTCTGACCCTGCATGGTAGAGCATTTCCATTACCATGCAGGGTCAAAACCTTGTGTCTTTTTGAAAATGGCAAAAAAAAAAAATCCAGAAAAAATTGGGTTTTTTGAATTTTAAAAGTTTGGAACAAACTCTGCAGTAATTTTTGAGGAAGTTGAGCAAATTTTTTTTTTTCCAAAAATTTTAGGGCTCCATCGGCCCCGCGGGAGCGTTTTAAAAAGACACAAGGTTTTGACCCTGCATGTTACAAAAAACTTCGGTTAGAGTCGCAAGACATTTTCATTACAAAAAACTTCGTGGATGTGATTGGGTGAGGTGGAGTGGTGGTGTGGGAGGGTTGTGAGTGAGGTGGATGTGAGTGGTTGGTGTGGGTGTGAGTAGTGAGGTGGATGTGATTGGGTGAGGTGGGTTGTGAGTGAGGTGGATGTGAGTAGTGTGGTGTGGGTGGTGGGGTGTGGGGTGGTGGGTTGGTGAGTGAGGTGGGTGATGTGGGAGTGGGTGTGGGGTGGGTGGGTTGGGGGGTGGGTTGGTGAGTGAGGTGGGTGAGTGTGGTGTGGGTGTGAGTGGGGTGGGTGAGAGGTTGATGTGAGTGTGGTGTGGGAGTGGTGGGGTGTGGGTGGGTTGAGTGTGGTGCCAACACAGGTCAAACTGGATTTCTGTCTTGATCTTCCCTTCGGAAGAGACACAGGCTAAACCAGGTTTCTGTCTTGAGGCCCTTTCTTTCTTTCTTTCTTTTGCGACCCTTACGCAACCCTAACCGAAGTTTTTTGTAATGAAAATGGCTTGCGACTCTAACCGAAGTTTTTTGTAATGAAAATGGCTTGCGACTCTAACCGAAGTTTTTTGTAATGAAAATGGCTTGCGACTCTAACCGAAGTTTTTTGTAATGAAAATGGCTTGCGACTCTAACCGAAGTTTTTTGTAATGAAAATGGCTTGCGACTCTAACCGAAGTTTTTTGTAATGAAAATGCTCTACGCGACTCTAACCGAAGTTTTTCTCAATGAAAATGGCTTGCGACTCTAACCGAAGTTTTTTGTAATGAAAATGCTCTACGCGACTCTAACCGAAGTTTTTCTCAATGAAAATGGCTTGCGACTCTAACCGAAGTTTTTTGTAATGGAAATGCTCTACGCGACTCTAACCGAAGTTTTTCTCAATGAAAATGGCTTGCGACTCTAACCGAAGTTTTTTGTAATGGAAATGCCTCGTGCGACTCTAACCGAAGAGCTGCCCGTCCTCCCTCACTCTTAGCGTCCTAACCGGTCCTTTTTTTCCCCCGGCAGGTTATTAGCTTCATTTTGCCTCAGTTTTCCAAATTCCGTCTCAATAGCCAATTTGCTTTTCCCGCTCTGAAACCGAGAAGCCTTTGTTTAGGCCACCCGAACCTTCCAGAAGAGGGGGTCCGGGGGGCTCCGCCCCCCGGCAAACGGTGCGGTACATTCAGGTGGAGAAAGAGTTCGCACTTCTCAGTCCGTTTGTCGCGTTAACATGCAGGGTCAAAACCTTGTGTCTTTTTGAAAATGGCAAAAAAAAAAAATTCCGGAAAAAAATTGGGGTTTTTGAATTTTAAAAGTTTGGAACAAACTCTGCAGTAATTTTTGAGGAAGTTGAGCAAATTTTTTTTTTTCCAAAAAAAATTTTAGGGCTCCATCGGCCCCGCGGGAGCGTTTTAAAAAGACACAAGGTTTTGACCCTGCATGTTAACATGCAGGGTCAAAACCTTGTGTCTTTTTAAAACGCTCCCGCGGGGCTGATGGAGCCCTAAAAAAAATTTTGGAAAAAAAAAAATTTGCTCAACTTCCTCAAAAATTACTGCAGAGTTTGTTCCAAACTTTTAAAATTCAAAAAACCCAATTTTTTCCGGAATTTTTTTTTTTGCCATTTTCAAAAAGACACAAGGTTTTGACCCTGCATGTTAAACAAACGACCAACGTACTGGTGGCACTGTATGCCACCTGTGTGACTCGCCCCGCTCCCCCGGGTGCACATTCCTGAAGCCAACAGCCCATTTCAAATTCATCCACCACTCAGATACCATGCAGGGTCAGAACCTTGTGTCTTTTTAAAACGCTCCCGCGGGGCCGATGGACCCCAAAAAAAAAAATTGGCAAAAAAAAATTTTGCTCAACTTCCGCAAAAATTACCGCAGAGTTTGTTCCAAATTTT